GCCTTCCATTCCCATTTCTGTTGATTATGGGCCCTCATTGGAGCAAGTAGATGTTATCACTTCCATTCAATTAAGCATCTCTTCAATCCAGACTAATGAGTAATCATGCCCTACCATCTACTTCATGAATGAGTTTGTTGAGCATTACCTTCTCCTCCTCAACCCCATTCTTTACCTCCAGTTGCAGTTTCATTGCCATGAAACATTCCCCACCCTTGGTCTAGAGCAGGGGTAGGCAACCTTTCCCCTTTAAGGGCCGAGGGACTTCAGCTTCCCAGAATCCCAGGAGCTATTGGCCAACATGGGACTATTGGCCAATGTGGCTGAGGCTTCTGGGAGCTGAAGTCCCTTGGCCCTTAAAGGGGAAAGGTTGCCTACCCCTGGTCTAGAGCAATGGTTCCAACCTTTGGTCCTCCAAGTGTTTTGGACTCCAGCTATCATGTGCCCCAACTCACTTGCCCAACAGGAATTATTGGAACTGAAGTCCAAAACATCTGGAGGACCAAAGGCTGTGAACCACTGGTCTAAAGGAGTCTATACATCAGAAGCACAAATTACTCAGGTTCTTTAATTCTTTGTTTCCTTATCTGCTAAGGGTCTGGCACTCTCATGTATTCGGTACTACTTAGCAGCAGTTTCCTGGCACTCAAGCAGCTAGAAAAACGTTCATGTTTTGTGGACTCTTTTTAGTTAGAACATTTTTAAAGGTACAAAAATCTGTACTCACCTGTGACTGGACTGACTGTTCAATGGAGCTTAGACATAGGGCCTTTACAGACTGCCAGAAATAATCCAGTTTGAGTCCACTTTAACTGCCCTGGCTCAATGCTAGGGAATCATGGGGACTGTAGTTTATTGTCAGAGTTCTCTGACAGAGAAGGCTCAATGTCTCCGAAAAAACTAAAATTCCCATGATTCCCTAGCACTGAGCCAGGGCAGTTAAAGTGGACTCAAGCTGCATTATTTCTGGCAGTCTGTAAAGGCCCTTAGTACTCCCTCAGCTTTCAAGGAAACCATTCAAGCCCATGGCATCCCATGACCTCAGGTTTCTTACTTCAGGTTACTTACCTGGGAAACTCCCTTCCTGATGGCAGTCACCATGACCAGGAGAGCTGGTGAACTTTGTGCACTGAGAGTGGATCAACTTTACTTCCACTTCCATCAGGGTAGAGTGGTCCTTAGACCAGGCATCTCCTTCCTACCAAAAGTCATATCCACTTTTCATCTGAACCAGGATATTGTCTTACCAGCATTCTTCTAGACTCCTACATCTGATCTGGAATATTACCTGCACTGTCTGGATGTATATCAGGCCTTAACCTTTTATGTTGATAGGACAGCTTCCTATCCTTTGGGCTATTTTGCATCCAGCAAGAAGGGGCCTCCTGTTTCATCTGGCTTGATTTGCAATAGGGCACATTCATCTTTTTAGCAGTCCATTAGTCACATTTCATTAGAGAAGAGAGAAAGAGAGAGCTGATCTTGAGTAATAATCATACGTGGTTTGTAACACGTGAAGCCCCCACTGCTCTCCCTAACTTGTTATATTCTAGTGCAGGGGTAGGCAACCTAAGGCCCGGGGGCCGGATGTGGCCCC